CACCACTTCCCTTGGAAGTTGGTTCCAGCTCCTAGCCCCCCCAAGCACCATCCCATCCAGCCCCCCCACCCACTCTCCCAGAATCCCCCATGGCTGCTCCGCCCAGCCCCAGTGTCCAGGCACTTACAAAAAAAAAGCCCCGCATTTGATATAGATATAGATATAGATATAGATATAGATATAGATATAGATATAGATATAGATATGCTGGTTAGTCTTTAAGATGCAAATCCACTCTGCCGTCTACTTGATTTTAGACTAACATGGCTGTCTATATTTCCTGATTCTCTGACAGATGGACAGAGTTGTGTCTGGGCTCCCTTCTGCACTTTCCTTGCTGCAGAGGTCCTCGAGGCATTGTTCCAAGTCCTGTGTTCCTGGTGTTTCATTTCCCAAATTTTGGCATGCAGCTTTTAAAAAAAGACTGACCATGTCCTCCCACTCCACCCAGCCGGCTTAACACTCATATGTTCTCGTCTAATACAGAGGCCCCTGCACGTTGTGTACCAACCCAGAGGTACTCACTCTCTCAAGAGAAAGATCTATTGATGCCTTTAAAGTGATCTATATCTACCTTTTGCTTCTATAATTCTCTCGCCTCCTTGCTGTCTCTCTATTTTACCCTTTCCCCTCTCTGAACATTTTTCTCTCTGGCTTCCCTCCTTCTCTCTATATTTCTCTCTCTTCCCTCCATTTCTCTCCAGCTCCTCTCCCCGCACCCCTTCCCTTTGTTTCTCTTTCATCCTCTTTCATTTCTATTACCCTCCACTCTAAAACTGGCCTGTTAACCAAGTAAAGCAGGTAAAATGCTGATCACCACAGGCAAGTAAAATGATTATCTCCTTGTCTACACTACAATTCTCAAGCAAGTTAGTTGCAGTGTTAAAACCCAGTCACATTTGTGAGTGCTGAAAAGCCCTAAGGGTTTTCTGGTGTCTCTTTAACAGCTCTTTCTGCTCTCCTCCAATATCTCTACTGTCCCCATCAGTTGTGTATCTTTTACTGCAGCATCTGACACAGCAAACTGCCACAGGAAACAGGGATTAGGCCACCAACAGCACCAGCTGCCCATTGCAAGGGTAAGTCTGGCCCGAGCCTTTGTACTAGGTTCAACAATGAGGGTTGACCCTCCACGACTTCCCACAAATGTACTCTCACATGTCACTTCTTCCTAAGAAACTCCCCCTCCGCTCCCTGCTCCCCACCCACTCGAAGAGCTTCTTTGTTATCCTGCAAGGATCTCTCTCTTCCTGCTCTGACAGATCTCCACAGGATACAAATAACTACCACTGACTTCAATGAAAGTTAGGAACTCATGCCACACAGGGAGTGTAGCTACAACAGTATCAGGTATCAAGGCAGTAAAGTAGAGGTAGGGGGTCCAGGAGGTCTCATTCATTACAAAAGGTCCTCTGAAGCACTAACAGTTATTGCCTCCTATCTACATGCTAAAATCCTCTAATGCAGCACTTTTTTTCTCTCCTCTTATTAGCCTAATTTTCTTTCATCTCTGTAAAGATCTGATGACTTGACAAAGTCTCTCTGGGTCTTGAACTCATGAAACTTGGGGAAATGTTCCAAATACACAGACCTGTCTGATAGAGGATGTGTGTTCATGCTCCATTTTGGCAAAAGCAGGTAACTCTTGGACACATCTGCTCAAAGCAGGTGTTCCTAAAGTCTGCTAACTCAGTTTTTAACTCTCATCCGTGTAGCAACAGAACAGGCACGCTCAGAATCATGTGGTGCGAGTACAATTAGAGCTACACACCCTACAATATACCCAGGGTAAGGATGCTTTGAAGGAAGCCACTAATTATGCTGATAAACTCAGGATTTCAAGATTCACTGGACAATGAACAGGCTTCACTTCAAAATGAACTTTTAAAAGTATTCGCATCTGGAAAGCTATGCAGGCATCCACATTTAAAAATGTAACATCCCAACTCCCTGCCACATGCAGAGTATCCATTGGCTTCAACAGAAGCTCTGTCTCTGATTATATTCAGGAACAGGCATATTTTATACATCAGCATTGATATGTTTTTCCTGCCAGTATGTAATCCAGATATTTTCAAGGCAATAATCAGGTCATGGGAGAACTACATGGCTAAAATCCTGATCAACAGTTTGAAAATCTGTGCCTCAGTGTTGTGCAGCTAGTTTCAACGTCTGGAATGAAGGGTTCTTGTCTAAAATAACCTTGTAAATTATTTTTAAAATAGGGTAGTTAAATAAATTCAAAGTAAATGACTAGGGTTTTTTTTTCTTTTTTTTAACATATTTTAAACAGAAACAAGCTGCCATATTTTCTGTGGGCTTGAAAGCTTATGTTAAGTTTCCAAATAAGTCAATTCTATAAAGATAACATCTTTTAAAAAAAAAATGTGTTGCTAGCTAATATTGTACAAAGCAAATTATTCTTAATAAAAATGTAAATTATGTCCTTTGTTTGGCTGAAAAAATAGATATGGAAGTATTTATAAGGGCAGGGTTTTCAAAGGCCTTCAGGGTTAGATGTTCAAGTGGTACCCACAGTTAAGGGCAAATATTCAGTACCCAAAATTAAAGCCAGAACATCTACAATCTTAAATTAAGGGTCCTAAATAAGGACAAGATTTGTAAAAGTCCCCCAGTGGCCAGGTGTTCCCACTGCTAATGGGTGGCTAATGTTTAAAAAGAGCTCAGCACTCAAAATGCTGATCCCTTTTGAAAAAGTTGGTCCTTTTTTTTTTTTTTTGGTTCCTCAATAGGAACTGACCTCTTTGGAAAATCTAATCCCAACTGTAGGTGCTGAGTTGTTCTGAAAATCTGGACTCTAACTATTAGTGTTATAATCATGCCAGATGTATTGACTTTCATTCAGCAGTTTCATGAGGGACAGTCCCACTGCAGCACACACAGTACTTGCATTTAATATGAAACTGTTATTTTGTTTTGGTTCACATGCAACTTTATTTTTGTAACTACCTTGTTACACATCTGACAGGTATTGTATGCACAGGGGGACCCGACTCATTTTCGCACACATAGAAAAAGCTAGTTTCAGACAAACATTGAATGGAAATTGAATTGAGGGATAAGCATAGTCTCAGGTTTACTGACCCGTTAGTCTGTTCATTACTGGTAGAGGTAAATAGCTGTAAGAATATTAACAATTAGACCTCTGGCAGTCATAAAGACCTACCTAAGGTGGTTTGAGATGGCATCCTATACTTTTAACCCATTATAAAAAATCAATAGAAGTCAAAGTCAGCATGTGAACGCATATCATATTTAAACCTAATTAACGGTTGTCTCCGGACAGTTTTCTAGTACCCTTCCATGAGGATAATTTCATCTTCCCAT